GAATCTGGGGCTTTGGGACCCTCCAGACGGGCCTCGAAGCGACCCCCGGGGCCTCACATGGCGCTTTGCCAAGCCTTCCCAGAGCACCTAGGACGATCAGGGGGGTCATCGGGGACGTCCCAGAGACCCCCAAGACAGCACAAGAGCGCTCCAAGAGTGACCGACGTGACCTCAAGATGGCCCAAGAGGCCTCCAGGACGGCCCCAAAGAGGCCTCCAAGAGCACTCCCAAGAAGGCCCCCCGAGGCAAAAATCATTAATGTTCTATTGGTTTTTGGTGAATTGTAGGGTTCTCCTCTTTTCGGCTTCCCGACGCTCCAAGACGGCGGTCTTCTGGGCGTCCGAAGCCGCCTGGGAGGCTCCACAATCGCCCCACAACCATCCGAAAGGGTTTCCAGGCAGTCCAAGAGAGCCCCAAAACGGCACAACACGGGTCCAAGATGGCCCTCATAGAGCCCCATGGCGGCCCAAGATGGCCCAAAGACACCCTCCGAAGAATTCCAAATCGTGATTCGGTCGTTCAGGGAGACCGCGGTTGGAGGCAGGGTGGCCCGAGGAAGCCCCCGGAGGCCCCCAGAATACGCCCAGGAGGTCTCCAGAAAGCCTTAAGAAAGCCTGAAACAACTTTTGTGAGGCCCCTAGAGGCTCTCCAAGGAGGAGCCTCCGCAAAAAAGAGCTGAGGAGGATGGGGAGAATGCGCAGGGCATGGCGAAAATAAGGAAAAAGAAACATGGAGGAAGGATAACGAATAACATTATTATAGCGGCGATGCCAGAAAAGGCAACCAGGAGTTATCGGCTAATTGTCGGCTTGACCTTCCTGCTATTCCGCCTGCATACCAAACTTCAAGGACCAAGGTGCATGGCGCGAAGCGCCACTGCAGTCTTGTATATATATATATATATATATATATATGTATATATGCGTGTGTGCATACACATGTGTGTTAGTAAACGTGGACACCAAGCAATGCTTCCAGTGATTCCGATTGTGCAACTGATGGGGATCAACCAATGTGGTACTATACAAATAATGCAACGCACGCTTTGCAACCTACGTTGTGCACTATACGTTGCGCGTTCCATTTGGATCAATAGATGTCGCGCAATATATGTCGTCCACTTCATGTTGTGCAACCTGTGTTGCGTAATCTACGCTGCGTAAGCTATGTTGTGTAACTCACAAACTTTCACCGGTGACCTGACAACATCCACTGCTCGCGCAATTTCCCGCCCACCCGCAACATGATTTGCAACACCCGTGCAGCGGCGATTGTGATGATTGCTTTGCGCTGGCTGAGGCGTCGCTACGGCCGCGCTAGCACGCGCAGGCTCGCGCGCAGGTCGGCCAACGAAGCTCGCGCGACCAACGCGGCCGCGGTGGCGCTGACCGGTGGGGACTTCTTGGCGCGTCTCGCAGGCAGCGCTGACGCGCGGGCACTTCAGTGCAGGTCGGTAACCCGTGCGGGCGCGGTACCGTTTCATGGCCCATGGCGACGCCGACAACTGGGTGTCAACAGCGCCTGAAAAAATCGTAGCAAGCATCAGCAAAAAAAAACTACGCCCACACGCGCACACATGACAGAACTACGCCAAACGCACTAAAGTTATACAACTGCCCAAACGCAAACACATAAAAACCCGTTGGCATTTCACTGCAAATCTTGCAGAATCCTGCCCGCGCTCATTGGCTGAAACCGTATGTTAACAGTCTCGCCAGGATACCACATTCTCATCCCAATACGCGGTGCATCCGCGCTGAAACAACATACGCTCACACCTCGGATCATAATCAAATCGCACCAAGCGGGCCGCAGGCGCGCGACGCCGGGCGCGCGTGTCGAAATCCTGACACAGACATTGGTTATCGAAGAAATTCGAGATAGAGCCTTTCAGAAACACGGGACACCCACATGTTGTTGCACCAAAATGTTCGCCAAATGTCTTGGTATTTTGCGGCACCCTCACCAGCGTCACCGCGTTACCACCGTTCCCGTCATCGCAAATCGCCGCCAGTGCCGCAATCATCACCTAATCATCTTCATCACCGACGTGTGGACGTCACGATCGATATCATCGTCCGCAGCATCGGCGCCGACATGGCCTTGCTGTTGTCGTCGTCATCATTGCCACCACCATCGCTACAATCATCATCGTTGCCGCCGATATCGACGTCATCACGATACCGCAACTGCCAAAATCAACGACCCGCACTGACGTGCCTGCGCACCAGCGTGGCCCCTGAGACGCGCTGAGACATTCCCACCGGCAAGAGCCATCGCGGCCGCCGTAGTTGTGCCAAACCAACTGGTTGCACTGCGCGCGGGCTCGCTCGTGCCGGCGCGGCCGCAGAGATGCGCCGGCCAGCGCCGTGACTGCGCCCTCGCGGCCTCACGAGTCTTGCAAAATACGGGCTGCGAGTGGGTGCGTGGGATGTGTGCGAGAGCAGTGGGGTTGACAGCTTACTACTTACAAACATGCGCCGCCCCGCGTAGCTCTTACCATGGAACTTGCGCCCCGTAACTGACAGCACAGAGCGTGCACCACACAGCTTGTACGACACCCAAGCAGATTGCACTGCCTGCCTGGCAACACGTAGCTTCTACAGCATACCTCACATTGAACAGCTTGGCCAACATCACTTGCACCGCAACGTTTGCGAAGAATGGCTCGCACCGAGTAGATTGCACCACAAAGCTTCAAAGAACGCATTGCAATAGCTCACAGTGTGCGGGACCAACGCTCGCAAAGGTACATACTTGTGTATGTATCCCGATATATGGATATGTACCAAACGCACCCTCTCACTCTCCTTCTCCCTCTCAATAATGTTGATATCCCTCTTTCCCCATGCCCCCACTACTCTGTTACTCCCTCTCCCTCTTCGTTTCTCTCCATCTTCCTCTCCCTCTCCCTCTGCATCTCTCTCTATCTCTCTCCCTCTCTTCCTCTCTCTCTCAGTCTCTCCCTCTCCATCTCTCCATCCCCTCCTCGTTCCTCCCCTTCCTCGCCGCTCATCGCCCTCCTCCCCCCCAGCCTCCCCTTTCTCAAATGACCTCCTCCGTCTTCTCCCCTCATCCTTTGCCTTCTCCATCATCCCACTCCACTTGCTCGCGCCAAGGATTCATCCGTATCCCCTGCCAGTACATATGACTATACTCCCATTCAACCACGTAGCCTGCCGATGGAAGAAGCGCCGATTTCCCCTCGGCGTCCCGCTCATTGTTTCCCAGAGGTATGCGCCCGTTTAGGCGCGGCGCGCATTCTCCCCACACCAGTGTGTCGCCGAGCGAGCGGAGGAACACTGTCGCTCTCGCACCGGCGCCGCGTAGATGTCGCTTGCGCGTGGCGCTCCCGCCTGGGCGCGTCACACATCTGCCAGTCGCCGCTCGCCAAGATTCGGGGCCCAGCGCGAGACATGCCGCCCTGGCCGAACCTCCGTGAACATCTCGCCCAGAAGGGGCGTCCCCGCGCAGGCGCGGCGCATGCCTCGGCAGCGGAGCCGCGCGAAAGAGGCCGCAGGGCCGCGCGAGAGCGAGATGAACTGCTGCCAACGCCCGAGCGCAGCGCAGTTTCGTGCGGGTGCGCGTGCGCGTGTGTGACGGCGGCTTAGGCAGCTTAGGTTTGACCCCGCGCTCTAGTTTGCTGCTCGCTGTAAATTAGTAAGGGCCGCGCCCCGGACTTGCCGACCCGCCGCCTGCGCCTTCGCCTTGCGGCCGCGACCAAAAAAAAAGTGTGCGTGTGCGACGGCTGCAGCACTTTCTGGGCGCGGCGCATGCCTCGGCTTCGCCGCGCTCCTCGGAAGCTCTTTTGCGGCTCCAGCCCCCCCCGCGCGGCCCGCCTGCCGGTGCCGAGCCGACGGGGGGCGGCCCTGCGCGGGAGCGTCGCCCGCTCGCCGGGTGGGGATGCGCTCCAATCCGTTCCGCTTGCACTTCGGGCGTCGGGCCTCTGGGCCCCGACAGGGCCCGAAGACGGGCCAAGAGAGCTCCAAGGAGGCCCCAAAGACGGTCCAAGAGGGCGCCGAGTCGCCGAACGATCGCACCAAGACGCCCAAGACGGCCCCACGGCGGTCCAAGGGGCCAAGCAATGTTTCAGGTCGGGCATGTCCCCCTACAGGCGGATTTTGGACGACACGCAAACTATAGTCGAATAGTGCACCAGAAAGGCGCAGAGATGCTCAAAAAGTTGTCCCCTGACTATTTGTTCCTGATCTGTAGAATCTTCCTCCTGTAGAGGGACACGCCCGACTTCAGCCAAGCTGTGCCTCGAGTGAGTCTTTTTTGTATGGAGGGAGGGTGGGAATGGGCGAGACCCGCTGGCGCCAACCGACCTGGCTGACTTGATACACCCAATCCTCCTCCGCTGCCCCCTGGCCCTCCCGCACTCGCCTTCCTTTTTCTCTTCCTCGTTGCCTGCCGCCCTCCTTCTCCCCCTGCCTCTCGATCACCTGCTTCTCTTCCTCCCTAGGGGAAGCCCTGGAAACCCAGAAAACACCGGCGAGAAAACAACCACCACCGACGCTTGCCGAAAACAGCGGGCACTCGACAGACCCAGCAAGAGCATGTTTCTGCCGCCCCATGTGGGCTACTCCCCGAAACTGGGAACGGCCCCTCAACAAAAAGCCGCGTACACTCCAAACCCCTGAACCGCCTCGAATTTAGAGGAACAGGAAGCTTCATCAACAGAAACCTCTGGAGGCCCGCGCGGATTCCCTCCCCGAGCGCGAAGCGCGGCAAGGGCGGCGCCAGAGGCGCCGCCAGGGCGCTGACCCAGGGAATCAGCGCGGACCTCCGAAAGCTTATTTTTCTGCAGCTCTTTCGTCTTCGAATATTCCCTCCGCCTCCTCCTCCTCCTCCTCCTCCTCCTCCTCTGAGCCTCACTGCCCTCCTCCTGCTCCTCCTTCTGCTCCTCCTCCTCCTCCTCCTCCTCCTCCTCCTCCTCCTCCTCCTCCTCCTCGGAGACTCACTGCCCCCACGGCCTTCTCCTTTCGGGGGAGGGCTGCCCCGGGGGGCATGCGCTCGTAGCCGCCCAGCAACTGCAACACGTTGGCGGCGGCGAAGGGCCCGAAGCCGTGGATCGCCGCGATGCTCTGCGGGAGTCCCGCCGACGACTGCCGAGGACGACCGTCGACGACGACAGCGGCAGCTGCGACGTCGACGACCAAAGGCCGTTTGTTTTCGGCGATGAACGAGGATATTCTGGTCTCCGGGTGGAGGGGGGAAGGCGGTGGTCGATAATCTAGCCGTTTCGCTCTGGGCAGTGCCACGTATGCCCGCACGCATCAATACTGCGTTCCCCATCCGGGCCCTCTCAACCGACAAGGTCAGGCTAGCGTGGGGGGCGGCGAGCCAGCGGGTCCGATGATCTGGGTGATCGCCAGACTCTTGAAAACAGCCTCCAACCGCCGACGGCGGCGAGCACGACGACCATCCATCCAGACCTCGGACGATACGACGGCTTCAACCCAATAGACATTCATCGATTCCAACCTCTGGGGGCCGCTTCGGGCCCCCAGGACATGATCTGGGGCGAGGAGCTGACCCTGGGGAAGGGGTTGGGGCCTCGGTGGCCGCGCACTCAGCAGGTCATATCGGAAGACGCCCAGGGCCAAAGGCAGCGACGACGGCGACGACCGTCGACGACGGCAAGCACGGCGACGGCGGAGGCGACGGTTGCGACGCGGGCTGCAGCGATAATCGGCGACGGCCAAGAGGAGCGCGGCGGCAGCGGCGGCGGCAACGCAGACGAAGACGGCGAAGACGACGTGGCGACGACGACGACGACGAGAGCGACGACGACGAGGGGGAGGACGACCGACGAGAACGGGAGTAACGACGACCACGACGGCGACGAGGGACGGCGACTGGCGACCCTCGACGACGACGGCGACGACGACGGCGACAACGATGCGGAGGGGGAGGACGAGGACTGGAGAGGACGGGGCTGGCCCAGGGGGGAACCGCCGACCCGGCATCGGCGACGCATCGCCGATCGCGCAGCGACGAGCCTCCGACTGCGGAGCCACACGTCCGCTGGCGTGAAGGGCCAGGGCCGGGCCGGGGGCCGGGGCCTCCCTCCCTCCCTCCCTCCCTCCCTCCCTCTCCCTCCCTCCCTCCCTCCCTCCCTCCCTCCGCTCCGCTGGGGGGGGCCGGGCCCCGAGCGGCGATCCATCGGCGACGGGGGGCCGATGCCTTCCCCCCCCCGTGGGCCTGCCCTCCCCCCCCCCCTGGCGCCGCCCCTGCCCTGCCCTGCCCCCCCCCCCGGTGTGCGGGTGGGGCCGAGAGATCCGCGCGGAGAGCCGAAACGTTGTGATTCTCTGGTGGTCTTGTGCTTCGACGTGGCGTGGGAGGGGGGGGGACGAGGAGGAGCATGGGCAGGAGGAGAAGCACCAGGGTAGAGGCCCTGCCCCTGCCCCCACCCCCCCCAGTGTGGGGGTGGGGCCAAGAGATCCGCTCGGAGATCCGAAAGCTTGTGATTATCCGGTTGTCTTGTGCTTCGACGTGGCGTGGGAGGGGGGGACGAGGAGGAACATGGGCAGGAGGAGGAGCACCAGGGCAGACCCCTGCCCCTGCCCCCACCCCCCCCCAGTGTGGGGGTGGGGCCAAGAGATCCGCTCGGAGATCCGAAAGCTTGTGATTATCCGGTTGTCTTGTTCTTCGACGTGGCGTGGGAGGGGGGGACGAGGAGGAACATGGGCAGGAGGAGAAGCACCAGGGCAGACCAAACAAGCATGAGCGATGCTGCAATGCACACCTGCCGTCTCTAAAGGCCCCTCCTCACGCGTGCCTGCAAACTTTCCTCCTCACTATGAGGAGCGTCCCCCTTGAAGGGCCAGTACTGTTAGGAATGCAATGTTGGCGAGGGTCTCGCTGTGACTTGTCTGGCGTAAAATCCACTTACCATACAATTCAACGAGGCGTCCAGCGAGATCCTCCTAGCGGGGGAAAGACCCACACCTCTATGTTTCTGTGGGGCCGGTTCACGCCTGTGGCCATGAATTTCGGCGAAGTCCCAATCGACAAATCCATGTTGAAAAAGAGACGCCGTGGATCCGTGCACCGCTACTGCATGTGTTGAAGATGTGGGGCACTGGGTTAGTAAAGCCCCAGCGATAACCTCTGTTAAAAAAATAGTCCTCCATCCTTGTCAGCGATATTTTTTATAAAAACAATGCTCGCGACGCTGAGGCGAAAACCCCATTTTGAAAAGAAAACTGTGTTAAATCCGTGAAGGTGCTGCAAGGTTTGGAGACGAATGTGCGCGGCGCTGGCGCAGGAGCAGCACTTTGGACAGGAACCGCCCTCCACCCTTGAAACTGTGGCGAAATCTGTAAACAAGTGTGCGCGGAACTACGGCGCAAACACCATTTCGAATAATAAAATCCCCCGTTCCATCCCTGAGCGTGTTCAAGCTGCTGTGACGAATCTGCGCGGTGCTCAGGCGAGAGCCAAACCAACATAATGTTTGAGATGAGTGTGTGTAGCGTTGAGGCGAGGGCCAACTTTTGTGAAGGAGCCAGCGCCCAGTCCGTGAAAAACCGTTGCAAGGTTTTGGCATGAGGGTGCGCGGCACGTTGGCGAGAGCCACATGTTGTGAGCCACCTGTCATCCATCCCTGCAGATGTTGCGCACTTCGAAAAAGAACGGGCGCGGCGCTGAGGCGAGCGCCACAGCTTGAAAAAGAGTTCGCCCTCCAGCCTCGAAGCTGCTGCCAACTTCACGACGACTGTGCGCGCCGCTGAGGTGAGAGCTACACTTCCAAAACAACGCCCCTGCGATCCTTCTATTGCAAGACATCAGCGCGCCAACGATTCCGCTTGCGCATCCTACCGACACGTTCCGGGGTTCGACAGGGATGTACGTAGGAGGGGGAGGTGGAAGACGAGGAAGTTCTGGGGGGGAGGAAGGTCAAATAAATCCTCGAGCGCATGCGAAGGTGAACTTGAACTTCCTTCGGCAATGTAGGGAGAAGGCAAGAGGTCCTAAGGGGGTGTGTCCATACACGCAGGACTCTGGGAGGTCCGAGGAGGCCTCCCGGGGCGCTCGCGAAGGCGCCTCGCGGCGATGACGGCGACGACGTCGACGGCGACAACGTCGAGGACGACGACCACGACGGAAGCGACGGGCACGCCGATCACGAAAGCGACGAGCACGTCGAAAACGACCACGTCGACGACCACGACCACGACCTCGTCGACGTCGACGACCACGACCACGGCGACGACCACGTCAACGACGACCACGTCGACGACAACCACGACGACCACGTCAACGACGACGACTGCGAGCACGGCGACGACGGAAGCGACGACGTCGACGCCAGCTGCGACCAAGCCGACGACGGCGACGACGATGACGAACACGGCGACGACTACGACCAAATCGACGTCTACATTTCCTCTTCTTCGTCGTTCCCTTCTACGTCGTCGTCTTCTGTGTCACCTCATTTCGCGCATCGCGCCCCGCGATGATCTTCGCGCCCACGAGCCGCCTTTTTGGGGAAAGGCAGCCGCCCTGGCGCGGACCGCGCCGGGCGAGGTGCGACTATGCTTGCGTCCTCGCGGGCGACTTGCGGTCAGGAACTTCTTTGCTCACCGCGTTGCGGCGAGCGACCCCGCGACGCTTCATGCCTTGCAGGCGGATCGCGTGTCGCCCCGCTCCGCGGAGCGGATGGCCGGGGAAAAACTCGGGACGCTGACGCAGGGGACTGGGGACGCGGACAGCGTGCCGCGCCGAAGCGTGGGGTGCCAGAACCGGCGGAGCACCACGCTGAGCCAAAGCTCCTGCGAGCCAAAGTTCCTGACCATAGTGTTTCGTCGTCGTCGGCGTCGTCGTCGCCTCGCAGCCGGCAGCATGGCCCCCGCAGCCGTTGCCAGCCGCCGCGCGCGGGGGAAGGAAGGCTGGGCCGACGTCCTGGGCGGTCTCCGCGGTTGGGCCAGCGGCGTCCAGGCTGGCGAGGGGGACCTCGGCAAGACCGGGCCGCCGAGATCGTCCACGTCGTCGTCGTCCTCGCCCTCATCCCCGCCCTCGTCCCCCACGCCGTCGTCGCTCTCTTCGTCGTCCTCGTCCCACATCTCTGGCGGCATGATCTGTTTCGATCTCGGCGTTTTTCTTAGCCGTCGGCGTCGCGGGCCCCTTTTCAGGCTCAGAGGGCATCAAAAGTGAATCTGCGGCCAAACTAGCCCCAGGAACATGGCCGGGACCTCCAGGGGCAGCCCAGTTAACAAACATTGTACCGATGCCAGAAATCGTTAGAACAACCAGTTTAGCGCTCCGCCGAGGGGCCCTACAGAAAGTTCCACTTAGTTGCGGTTGTGGTGCCGGAGCCCTCCGTCCGCTTTCCCGTCCCCGTTGCCTTCGCACTCCTCTTCCTTTCCTTCGAACGTTCACCCAGAGCCGCAGCGCGGGGGGTCGACCTTAAGAGACCTCGGCAGGTAGTTGATATTGGTACATACGTGTGTATGTATATGTATGTAGACAAATGTACAAATACAGACATGCGACATGCATGCATGCATGCATGTATGCATACACACATACGTACATACATACAGACATACAAACATACGTTTGACCTATAGAAAAGGGATCACTGTATACACATGTACACACACATATATGTAAGTATACAGTTATGTGTATATAGATAATGTATATATGTGTACACACACACATATATATATATATATATATATATATATAAGCTCGCCCCCCCCCCACACACACACACACCCAGCCAGCGTTCACTGAGATGATCCTCTTGCTCCTCTTTCTCCTCCTTCTCATCATCCTCCATTTCCTCGTCCTCGTCGTCCGCCTTCTCTTCTCCGTCGTTATCCTTTTTTTCCTCGGCCACTTCCTCCGCGCCGCGCCGGCGGGCTGGGAGGGACATTCTCGTCGTCAATGTCTTCCTCCCCCTGCTCGTCTTCTCCTTCCCCCTGCTACGCAGCCAGGCGCATTTGAGTCGATTGCAATCCGACCGATTGCAATCCAATGGAATGCAATCCAACAGGTTGCAACCAAATCCATTGCAATCCAATCGATTGCAAAGGAAACGATTGCAACCCAATCGGTCGCACCACAAATATTGCCCCACATCGATTGCACAACATACATTGCACAACAACGGTTGCGCAGCATACGTGTGTGTATATATATGGCCGTACGGGCCTAAAGGGGGGCGTCGTTTCTCTGATCTGAGGTTCTTACGCACCACGGCAAAGACATTCCAGTGTCACGAATTCGTGAACATCTACCTGCGATCTCTCCTCGATCCACATGGACTCGCGCCCCTGCCCCCGCAAGCAAAGTCCACAATTACCCCTGCGAAACGGGATCACAGGCCGATGGGCTTCCCGCTCACTCCTCCTGCATGCCGAAAAGCTGACATGATGGAAGCCATGTCCCCCCATGGATTCCTGGAGCATTCAAAAAAAAAACTTCCGCAAACCGTCCTCGCGAAGAATCGCGGATTCCTGGGACCTTAAAAAAAAAACCTCCCAAAACGATTCCGATTGAAAACCTCTAGGCAAGGATACCTATTGAACGCCCCTACAAAAGGATTCCTATTGAAAGCCACTACCAAAAAGGATTCCGATTGAAAGCCAAAACAACAATATTCCTGTTGAGAGCCTGTCCACAAGGATTTCTATTGACAGCCTCTACACAAGGATTCCTATGGAGAGCCTCCACAAAATGCTTCCTATTGAAATCCTTAGCACAAGGATTCCGATTGAAAGCCTCTGCAACAAAAGGATTCCTATTCAGAGCCTCTACACAAGAATTCCTATTGAAAGCCCCTACGGAAAGGATTCGTATTGAGAGCCTCAACAGAAGGATTCCGATCGAAATCCTACACACAAGATCCATATTGAAAGCCTGCAGACAAGGATCCCACTTGGAAGCCAATACACAAGGATTCCGACTGAGTGCCTCTGCACAAGGGTTCTGATTGAGAGCCTCTACACAAGGATTCCGATTGAGAGCCTCTACGAACGGATTCCTAGTGCGAACCTCTACAAAAGGATTCCGATTGAGAGCCTCTACAAAAAAATGATTCCTATTGAAAGCCACTACAAAAGGATTTGTTTTAAGAGCATGTGCAACAAACGGTTCCTATTGAGGGCCTCTACAACAGGAGTCCTATTGAGAGCATCTACAACAGGAGTCCTATTGAAAGCCAATACGAAATGATTCCTATTGGAAGCTAATAGAAAAAGGATTCAGAGTGAGAACCTCTACGCAATGATTCCTAGTGAGAGCCTCTACAATAGGATTATTGCTGAGAGCGTCTACAACAGGATTCCGATTGACAGCCTCCACGAACGGATTCCTACTGAAAACCTCTACACAAGGATTATTAGTACACGCGGATTCCGCTTCAAAGCCTCCACAAAAGGATCCCAAGTGGAAGCCAGTACAAAAGGAGTCATATTGAGAGCGTCTACAAAAGGATTCCGAATGGAAGCCAATACAAAATAGGATTCCTATTGAAAGCCCATACAAGAGAATTCCTGTTGAGAGCATGTGCAGAAGGATTCGTAGTGAGAGCCTCCACAACAAGGGTTCCTACTGAGAACCTTTACAACAAGGATTCCGCTTGAAAGCCTCTACAGAAGGACTCCTCTTCAAAGCCTCTGCAAAAGGATTCTTATTGAGAGCCTCTACAAAAGGATTCCGCTTGAAACCTCTACAAAAGGCTTTTATATATAAACAAAAAAAACCTTCCCAGCAAATGGAATATGAAGTCACTGCACCTGCCTGGGACAAAAAAAAAATCCTCCCTTCTCCTTCCTCCGCCTCCTCCTCTTTCGCCTCCTCCTCCTCCTCCTCCTCGCTCTCCTTCCTCCTCGTCTTCCCCCTCCCCCCCCCTCTGAAGGAATGCAAGAACTTGGGGGAAACCATTGGAAACACAAAAAAAAGCAAGAAACTTAAGTGCTTGAAGCGAAAGCTTTAGGACAACCATTGGAAACAACAAAACAAAAAAAGGTTCCACAGAGACTGCGGGGGTTCCCTTCGGGCTTATCCCTTCGAACGGTGTTTCCTGGAATATGTGTTTTTCGTGTTGTGTGGTTTTTGTCCCACGGTTTTCCTAAAGTGTTCGCTTCCATCACTTCGGTGTCTTTGATTTGTATGGTTTCTCCAATGGTTGTCCCAAAATTTATGGTGTTTCCCACCGCCAACACACGGAATGTATGTGTATTTCGCCCACACGACGGCGAGGACGACGAGGACGAGGATGACGAGGAAGAGGAAGAGGACACGAGAGAGAGAGAGAGAGAAGAGCACAAGGGAACGCTCAAACAGCAACGCACAACAGCAACGCACAACAGCAAAGCACAACATAACATAATACAACTCGCATTTTCGACACGCCCCCCGTTAGGCCCGTATACCCATACATATATATATATATATATATATATACCAGAAAACACTGCACCACATGAGTTACACTTCGTAGGTTACACGACAAACATTTCACAGCCTATATGGCCACACATATACATTGCTCCACATCGATTGCAGCACATCCACTCTACCACATGTATTGAAACACGTAGATAGCACCACAAATTTTGCACAGCATAGATTGCACAACATAGGTTGCAAGAAACACACTGTTTGGGAACCACGCTGGCTCACATTTACACGATGCAATGCAATGCGCTGCAAAAGGATGCACTGGAATGCAATTGCAATTCAACGGGGGGCGACCACAAGCCGGCCGGGGCGGCACACGAGTCCGCGACGAAACGGCGGCGGGCGGCAACGACCGGCGACGGGGCGACAACAAGCCAGCCGAGGCGGCACACAAGCCCAGATCCTTCAAAACAGAATGCGACCATCCGAGTGCAAGCGCTGTTCGGGGAACGTAGAGAGAGAGAGAGGGAGGTATATATATATAGAGAGAGAACAAAAAATGAGCGAGAGAGAAGCAAACAGAGGTAGGCAGGGAAAAACACATCAAGATAGAGACTAGGCGAGCAAACAATAACGAGACAGAAAGGTAGAGAGATAAATACAGAGAAGCAGTTCAAGTTAGAGAGAAAAGGTATATACTTATATAGAGATAAACAAATGTAGCAAGAGAGAGGGAGACCGAGATAAAGAGAGAGAGAGATGTAGATATAGTCAGAGAGAGAGAGAGAGAGAGAGAAAGAGGTAGAGAGAGAGAGAGAGAGAAACATAAAGGAAGAAAGAGGGGGGGCAGGAAGGCGCAGGCGGACAGAGGAGGAGAGAGGAAAGGAATATGGCGGGGGGGGGGAGAGGAGACGGGCAGGACGCGAGGCGAAGGCAGAGCGCAAGAGGAGGGCGTCGGGTCCGATCGCCTCGCCACGGACGCAGGCTCTGGCCAGGCGCACGAGCCGCTCGGCGCGGTAGCCGACCTGGGTGCACTGCGAGCCGCAGGGGGGGGACGAGGAGCAGAGCTGGGCTTAAACGTTGTTGTTCGTTTTGTTCGCTCTGTGCTTCGTTTTGCCATACCTGCTTTCCCGCACCTCCCTCCCAACACGAAAAACAAAACCCAGCCGAAGTCCAGCAAAACAGCGTTCGGGCCCAGCCCTGGGGGGGAAGAGCGAGCAGCCTGCGCGCGCGCAACCGATGTCGTGGTCCGTCTCATGGACGGGGGCCCCGTGCCGGCACTTGTCGAGGCAGGTAAGCTGGCCGCCTGTCTCGCAAATCTCGCCATCGCTCGGACGTCCATTCCCCGTGGATTCTTGGATCTCGTGCGCGCACTTCTCCGCAAGAGGACCCGAGAGTCTCCTCCATGGTCCTCGCGGAAAAAATATGCACACGCCCGAGCGGGGCCGAGCGGGGCCTGCCTTCTGCAGGGCAGGGAAGCGCTGCACGGACGAGATGTCTCGGAGGTCCGCGCGGCTTCCCTGCATGGGCCGTGGGCTCCCCTGCGAGCGCCACCGCGGCCGGCGCAGCAGGCGCGGCCAGGGAGGTCAGACTAGGGGCCGCGCCAGGGGCGGCGCCCGAATAACCGCCAGGGGCAGCTCCAGAGGCGCCGGAGGCGCCGCCGCGCAGACCACCAAGCAGATGTGTTTGTTTGTTTTCTTCTTCGAGCCCCAACGACGCCTCGGGCGATGTGTATCTTTATCGAGGGAGCGTGCAGCTTTCGGTTGCGATCGGCGTCGGATCGGACTCGCGGGACCCAGGTCAATCGATCTCGATGTCCCCATGAACCGGTCCACACAGGCTGTCATTCGACCCCACTACCAGAACCTCGATCGATCGATATATCGATATCACGAATGCTCGAAATTTGAGTTCCATACTTACAGATCAATCGCACGATCGATCTGTCAATCTGTTTGAGGACGGGACAACCAAGGGACAACCAATCCAATTGTCCCGATGGTTGATCCGATGGCTGTCCCCGTGGTTGTCCCGACGGTTGTCCCGATATTGTCTCACGGTTTTCCCGCGGTTGTCCGGATAGTTGTCCCGATGGTTGTCCCAATGGTCGCTCCGAAATGTACCCCGTAGATGTTCCGCGGTTATCCCGTGGCTTCGTCAATTTGTCGTAAGAGATGTATGTTTGATTGTCGTGCCGCATGAGAACAACCCCCAGATACCAACCAAGCTTTTGCTGAAGACGTCGTTGCAATTTGTCCAGGAATCGCGCTCTCGCCTAAGACGTCCTGACCATTTTTGCACGAATCGCGCTTTCGGCGTACTGGGATCACGCTCTCGCTCTGGACTGCCTCAGGATGTACGCAGCAAGCGCACTTTTGCCTGAGCCTGCCTTGCCATCCTCTTTTGCTACATATTCAAGTCCCCCATCTCATCCCTCGATCCCTTTTGCCCCCTTTTCCCCCTCCTCTCCTCTCATCCACTTCCTTTCTGCCTCGCTGCCCACTCGTCAATTATGACTGGTCTTCCTGTTTTCAAGGCTGCGCCACTTACAACTGACAGGGAGGAAAGACGCACCTCCAAAGGGGGCACGATCAATGAGGAAGAGAGCGGGCATCGAGGGCTCGGGATATACATAGAATATTTATGTGTGTAATTGTATATAAAATAGTGTGTATATATATACATATGTATATACATATGCACATGTGTTGATTGGCAAGCAAGCAAGCAAAGGCGATCCAACATTATTACAAGTGCTGCTGAGGTTTAGTAATCAATCACTCTGGCAGCTAATTTGAAAGCCCCTCTCTGGTGCCCTTTGTTGACGACCTATTGACGTGTTCCTGCCGGGGCTCGCACTCTATTATTTGAAATAACAAATCGTTGGTCTCCAAACCATGTAGTTCGTCAATACTGTTTTACAGCAGCAAGAACCACAACAACACTCATTCTTAAGACTGTTCGCCCTTAGCCGCACGCGCGCCATCCAATACGTATATCCCACCCCCCCGATACCTGGCCTCTTGGTTTTCGATCGTATCCCCCTGGGGATATATCTTCCTGAACGCCGCGTATACTTAGGGCGGCAACTAAGACAAGGGAAGAGAGGACGATCGAAGGGGGGAGGAAGAAAATGGAACACATGATTAGCCAGGGGGGGGGCAAGGAGCAGAAATCACGTGGCAGGATCGAACGCGCGGTCGAAGCGGCCAGGTCGAGCACGCGAGTTGCCGAAACGTGGGTACTGCATGACTCGTGAGGAGGTTTGGAGCGCCAGCACGATTGCCAAGTGACCACAGCAAGAGCGCGACAGCGCGATTCCTGAACGTCGAAGGCGCGGCGTTTGAGTCAATTGCTGAAAGTACCACGCGACAGCGCGATTCCTGCATGCATTGCGAGGAACTCCCGCGCGAGAGCAAATTTTGACATAACGTATGGAAACACCGGGCATGAGCAACTGTCGTTGTAAACCGGGGGCCAGCGACACAGTTTGGTGACCCCACGCCTCTCCTTGGTTTTAAAAAACAAGACCCGACAGAAACACTTTCATTAAAAAGACGCAATGGACACCTAGCTGGGGGGTCAACGATACTTATTATTTCATATCCCAAGAATGCAAAATCCACAACGGTTCCCACCTGTTACTTCCTCACGTTTTGTAAACATGTTAGCCACCGCTGGCCCCAAGCAGCGCGCTCTGGTATACAATGGAGCAACATCTGCGCGGTGCCATCGATGTAGTCATCTCAATGTTGTGCAAAGTATATGGTGCATCTCATGTGAAACAGGACATGCGGTACAACCTCTGCAACGCCACAGTCTCGGCGGACCGACCTCGTGTACGCGACCTCGGGCGCAACGCCCCAACGATGGGTGCGGCGACCTAGTCAGGGCTGCCGTCCCGCTAACGCCCCGCGTGGGGGGCGCAGGCGGTGACGCGCGCTGTCCCCGACCAGGCCAGCCTGGGCGTTGAACCCCAAAGGCGGGCGGGTGAGGCAGAAAAAGGTCCGCCACCGACCGAGGCAGCCCCGCACCCAGGAGCGGGCGGGTGGGGCAGAACGGCCGACGGGCCCGCGCCGCGGGCGAGCGCCCCGCGAGCGCGGCGCGAAACAATAATACGAAACCTGCGAGGCAGACGGCGCCAGGGCGCGCCGCGACCCGCCCCAGCGCGATCCCCGCGGCGCGCCTGCGCGAGCGCCCGCGGCAGGCCCGCGCGTGACAACACAAAAGCACCAACCACCGAGCGCGGGCGGCGCGCCCTGCGGTCGGGCTGCATGCGTCGCGCGTCGCACGCGCCGCGGCGCCGCGGGGCCCGTCGGCCGACCTGCGATTTGTGCCCGCGCAGCACCCTGCAAGTGTGCGCCCCCAATATATGCGGTGCACTCTATGTGGTGCAAACTCGGTGGTGCCATGGATGTGGTGCAATCGATGTTATGCAATGCGTGCGGCAAAAGCGATGTGGTGCAATGTATATGGTGGTATATGTGTGTATAAATATACACAGTACAGTCTATGTGGTGCAATCTGGATGGTGCACTTTGTGCCGTTCAATCTACATGGTGCTACCTATGTGGTGCAATCGAGGTGGTGCAATGTGCGTAGTGCCATTTATGTAACAGCAAGAAATGCGGTGCAAAATATACAATGCGATCTATGCGGTACAATATGTATGGTGCAAACTGTGTGGTCCAATGAATGTGGTGCCACCTACGCGGTGCAATCGACGTGGTGCAATGTATGTTATGCAATGTATGGGGTGCAGCCGATGCCGTGCAGCGAGTTTGTTGCAAACTACGTAACGCAATCCACGTGGTGCAATCTATTCCCAATTTTGCAAAGCAATTGATGTGGTGTAAACAATGCGAAAGCAGCGACAGGCGGCGACGGCGACAACAAGCGCGGCGACCGCCAGCCAGGCACACAAGCAGCGGCGACGGACGGCGGCGACGGCGGCGACAAAAGTGGCAACGGCCATCCAGGCCCAAAGCAGCGGCGGCGACGGGCGGCGACGGCGACAACCTAGTAGCCGCGAGACCGCCAGCCAGGCCTAGTTCCTCAGACCACAAGTAAGAAACCCCTAAGTGCAAGCACTGCGTTGGGAAAAGAAGCCAGGCATTCGCTCGGGACCGCATCGCTTCTA